CCAGCCATGCAAAACCCCAAGCATTTAGGTTTCTCATTATGAAGGGGAAAGAAAGTAGTTGTGAGCAGCAGGGGAAAATCTTTGTTCATAATTTTCAATTTATTTCTACTTGTTTCCAAGGTAAAATATTAAATATATCTGTATCCCCATATTTATCAAAAGAATCTCATTACAAATAAGAGTTTAATCAAGTTAGTAAAGTCGGGGTAAAGCAACCAACTCTTGGGTAAAGCAACCAACTCTTGATGTAGCAAAGGGAAAAAAAAAAAAATTCAAAGGAATCTGGTTTTGAGTCTAATTTAACCTTCATTAACTCCTCACATGGGGGACCCACTACTGTCTTTTACTTATGTCTACCGTATTTTGTACTCCCATACACTTCTCTACTGTGTCCCCTCCCCTGCATTTATAGACACGCTCAATCATTCTACCTTCTCCACCTAGTTTCTTCCTTTCTTGCTTATCTCTCCCTTCCTTCTCCATGGCCCTCTTCCTATTGCTTCTTCTCATTCTAATGGCTCCTTCAAGCAGCTATGCTTACTGGCCACCTTCACCTGGCTACTGGCCAAGTTCAAAGTTCAGGACCATGAACTTTTACAAAGGTTTTAGAAATCTCTGGGGTGCTCAGCATCAAAGACTAGACCAAAATGCATTGACAATCTGGCTTGATAGAACCTCAGGTTTAGTTTACCTTAGTGCATTTGCATGCTCCTTTCTCCTTCCTCTGTTTTTTTCTCCATTTCTAATACTAGAATTTGGAAAAACAGGAAGTGGGTTCAAGTCAGTTCGCCCATTCCGGTCAGGTTACTTTGAAGCATCCATCAGGCTCCAACCTGGGTATACAGCAGGAGTGATAACAGCATTCTACGTAAGTAAATTTACTAGCTTTTTTACACTGTTCAGAGTTTTTTTGGTGGGTGCTTCTGGTGTGATTAGTGTAAACAGCACTAAACTTCAAAATTAATTGGCAATAGGTAAAACAGTGACCTAAAGTGTATTTAATGATCGATATAGGATTTTCCCACTTAATTACATTACATCACTGTGGGTAAATGGCAGCTTTCAAACAATGAAGCTCATCCAGGGTTCCATGATGAAGTGGACATTGAGTTCCTTGGAACCACATTTGGGAAGCCTTACACTTTACAGACCAATGTGTACATCAGAGGTAGCGGAGATGGAAAAATCATTGGGAGAGAGATGAAGTTTCATCTCTGGTTTGATCCCACCAAGGATTTTCATCACTATGCCATTCTCTGGAGTCCCAAAGAGATCATGTATGTTTCATCATTCCTTTTTTTTTTTTAAAACCTCTGATGATGGAGTATACAACAGGTAATAGCAGATATATAAAAAAAATGCAAATATGTTGACAATTTATTTTTAATGTTATGTCTAGATTCCTTGTGGATGATGTGCCCATTAGGAGGTATCCAAGGAAGAGTGCTGCAACATTTCCTCTAAGGCCAATGTGGCTCTATGGTTCAATATGGGATGCTTCATCATGGGCAACTGAAGATGGGAAATACAAAGCTGATTATAGATACCAGCCATTTGTTGCAAGGTACACCAATTTCAAAGCTGCAGGTTGCACAGCCTATGCTCCGAGCTGGTGCCGCCCGGTCTCCGCCTCTCCCTACCGAGGCGGGCTAACCAGACAGCAGCATAGAGCCATGAAATGGGTCCAAGCCCACCATATGGTGTATAACTACTGCAAGGACCCCAAAAGAAACCATGCCTTAACACCAGAGTGTTGGCGCTAAGCAGCCAATCAACTACAAAAATACCACACCCGTAATTGCAAAGAAATTTACTAGTGAATTTCATTGTTTTGTCCTCTTGCTTTAATTTTATGGTGTCTTGATATGAGTTGTGAGGGTTGTTCAGTGTCCAATGTTCCAAAAAGGAAAAAAAAAACCTTGTGTGTATTTTTTGGAAAATTACAGGGGAAGAATCCGAAGAAAGATATAGAAGGAGATGATGAAGCCAAAGAGATGGTGGTGCCGACATGGGTTTTGGACTTGGTTTTTTGCTTGTCATTTCTGAATAAAGCAAAACTTGCTTTATCTACATTTAAAATAGATAAAATTCTTTTTCAGTCCGCACAGCCTAAAATAAATGCATGTTCGGATATTAAAAAAACAAAAATACCCTTAATAATTACAAAGCCAGTGCAAAATTTTTAGAGCATTTTTATCTTTTTATGCCAGAACTGACATTTATTTTAGCGAGCTCAATTTAAAATATGATAATTGAGTTTCTGTTGTCTCATATGAATATAACAGAATGAGTGCAATGAAAGTAGGGACTCCTTATATGATAAGGTCATGGTTTGGGAGCATATGACACGAAATGGGATTAATAAAAGAGATAGCATGAATATTGATTCCACATATTGATGCAAATCTCAAGAATCAATCAACGGTGGGCATCCAAGAAGTAGAATGGTGCCTGAATGATACCAACAATAATAATGCAGTCACATGATATGAGCTAGTAAGATCTCGTGAATCAACAGTGGAACTTTCTGATGTCAAATCTAGATGGCTGCAGAGACAGTAAAATGATTCCACAATAAATTTGGAAACATTGCTGTGATTATGTTAATGTTATTAAGTCATTATATGTGATTTCTCTTGGCAAAGTAATGAAACATAACATTGCAGTGATCATCTCTATAAGAGGACCATCCTTTCTTATATGCTTGTCCATTGAGGGATGTTCAAGGGTTCAAGAACTTGAATTTCCAAGTACCAGGTTGGGGGTAGGTTCAAATCTTGGGACGGGTGATGAAGGGTTTGAGAAAGGGAGTAACCATTATGATGTAACAGGAAAATAAATTTTTTCTTATATATATACCCTATCATCTGATATGCAAAGAAAACGGTACACCTAGTAATTCTCCCACAACTTATATATGCTTGGCTTTTGGTTCATGAATCATGACAGTTTCAGTCATATGATTCCTTGACCAATCTAAAAAGATTAACCTCTGGAAACTGATATCCAGTGAAACGGTTAATCCTGCTATCTTGAATTCCTCTCCTTTTGTTTTCCAGGCATCCCCAGCCTAGACATCTGGTTATGCATTTTTTGACTAAACAGTAAAACATCAATTCATATGTGGCATACAAAGTCAATTGCACATTTGCACAGAGTCTAGAGTTTTAGCAATGGTACTTGTGAGACCCACAATTCCAATCCAAAATGTGGCAAGCAATTCAGCAAATAAGGTAGGTGCAAACAGGACGACAAAAACATAACAGCTATAGTAGAATGACTGTTTGGCCAATAATATTTGATTGACATGACCTGTGTGCAAAATGGATGCTTTTGCAACAATAATTCAAAAAGAATAACCCATGATGGCTAAATGAAAGATATCAAACAATGAGGACGTTGGAAAGGAGCTTTACAGCTTTTAAAGTTTAAATGGACTGAAATGATAGGATATTCCATTTGGCAATCCTCTAAAGTTTAAATACACTGAATGATAGAAAGTTTAAGACAAATCCCTCTTTATAATTATTTCTTTCTTTGGTCAAATTTCTATTAGTACAGAAAACTGGTTGATGGAAAGCATACCTGCAACAAGCAACACAGGCTTCGTGGCTTCATTGTTCAATTAGTTGGTTGAACAGCAGATCCTCCTGGCAGTTAAACCCTTTGGTTATCTTCGTTCAATTCCTTGCACCAAACATACAAAATTCTTTAGTTAGTTTACTAATACTTGCACCAGTGTGCAAACAGAATCTGATGATATGAAATGCTGATTCTAACTTGACAATTAGCTAGACTTGAGCAAATCATTTGATTCACCTTTAACATGGAAGGGGAAGGCACACAGGAAGAAAAATAAATACCTACTAAATCCTTGCTCAGAATTTCTGAAGTGCACACATGAGCTCTCCCATGGTCATATGGTCAGCCAGGCACGTGGATTGACTTCAACTCTCCCAGACAGCAAATATCATACAAAAGTATGTCAATATGTTGTGAGGACAGTTAAAACAAGATCCATTTTACAAAAATTAAGACTTTTTGTAATAAATAATTCAATATCATACAAAAGTATGTCAATATGTACAGCTGCCTGGAAATAATTTAACTTCAATCATCCAGTCCCTATGCTATGCTATGGTACAACCTTTACAAGTGAAACTCAAAATATTCACGTGCCCCGTACAAAAATCAGAAAGAAAGAAAAAAACAGAAAAGGAGCTACTGGAATATTGGGGCCAGTTGCATAATCCACAAAAGGAATGAGAAACCATGTGGAGCTATCCCCATTAGGAAAGGTCAGAAGCCTGCAAGCCAGAATGAATTAACCAAATTATTGCAATTGTTATGGGGATTAACACTCAAAGATCACTGTTTTATACCATGAAGAATATGGTTATGAGACTACAAATATAGTGAGTGCGCAAGAAGAGGATAATAGACAACATATGTATACTGCAGGCACAAACTCATGGACGACTCTACCTTGGGGGAAGCTAATTTAAATCATTAGAAGCATTTTTTTTTTTTTTGGCCATCTATTAGAGTGTTGAAGGGTAATAAAAGGAAAAAAAGTATAAAATCTAAAAACATAGTAGAAGGTGGGTGTAGCCCATATGTGGTTTCCAGTCCTCTAATTTGTTTTAGTTTTTTCTTCTTTTTCTTTAACATTTACCATTTTTCATTCTTAATAAAGTAACAAAAATATTACAAGAAAGTTATTTTTGTCATTATTCAAGTATTTTTTTTGGCATCATTTTTTAGTATGTTTTGATATCTAACTTTCTTATTTAAACTTTATCAAGATTTTAAATTGTTAATAAATAAACTTACTCCCAAATCCTTTCTATAATTTTATATTTCAAAAATGAAGTTACTTTTACTCATCAAGGAGCTTCTACTTTCCTGTAACCTATACATAGATGGATCTCTTTATTGTCACTCCATTATCATACTGTTTTACATCCCTGAACAAACACATATCATAAAAGGAATATTGCAAATCATAAAAATCAAACAATTAGTCAAGAAGGTAGTAACCACAGAAATGTAACTTAAATGAAGCTTTACCTATTTATCACAACTTCAAGCTGAATAGTTGCAATACATCCTCGCTTAAACAACCAAGTAAACCTTGGCCCAGTGCATCTGTGTATTTTACATCATGAATAGGAAGCTTGGGTGACTTAAGACGTTGAACAACAGTGAAAGATGGCAACTCTTGCAAGATTAATTCAACTGTAACTTCATCACCAGATGCAAAGAAAGTCTTATTTTGTATGTATATAATTGTAGATCTTGACAGTCGAATATCATTTACATTGGCCAAATCCGAGCCCAACTTCTGATAAGAGTTACTTCCAAGTCTCTTAAAGTGAACATGAGAACCCTGTACTCCTTGCCCAATGGTAGGAGTCAGTACAGGTTGAGAAATGGCCATCTCATTTGGAAAGTAAATTTTTGGGCGGTATGAAGCAATGATGTCATTGCTGCTGTGATTATAAGCTAGAGATATACAAACTCCTTGATTCTCCGTCTTAGGTACCAAAAAGGGCCTACATAAAATAATATAAGTTTTCTAAGTTCCTTCTAGTGATCACCATAAGACATCAATGACTAGCCAAACTGAACTAAATAAGATTGATAATTCTTTTAAGTCAAATTGAAGCTTATCTTTTTCTTTAATTTTCCCTTTTGGTTTTGGTGTTGTGTGCAAGGTAGGGGAATGTTATAGAGATGAAAAATTAAAGCTTACCTTTCCCTAGCACCACCAAAGCTCCAATGACAAAGCCCAGCTGAGGATGCAGATATTATGGCTCCACAACCCAGAGGGAGAGTCGTATTGTTTAAAGAGCATATAGTATGAATCACATTGCTTGTCAGCCCATTCATCGATTCCATGGGCATTGCAGTTTGGCGCATATCAAAGGCCAAAAGTGAGCCATTCTGAAACAAGGGTAAAATTCAAAATTTTAATTTGAGCCCCTTAACCTCATCAAGCTAAACAGAACAAGCTTGGTAGTTAAACCTGCAGCCCAGCATAGATGTGATGTGAATTATTAATATCCCATGAACATGACCATGCAGCAGCCTGAAATTCCAACAACACAGTAAAAGATCAACAGAAACTATAAGGCCAGACCAGGTCCAAAATATCCTGTTCCATAGTAATTATGACAATAAATTACAGAAAAGTGGATAAATTACTTAAGACAGTGATGAAAATAACAGAATGGATATAGAGGATTCGAGGGATTGACAGGCCCATAAAATAAAACTCCAGAACCGCTGCTGAGCCAGAGCACCATGCCAGATATAAGAAACCACCATGATAAACCACATTGCTAAGTAGTCCCACAATATTCTGGATACATACAACTTTTTTTTTTTTTTTTGAACAGGACACAGATAAGTTGATACACTGAACGCAGAAACAGGCCCCAAAACTGACAATGTCAATTACACAAGTCCTTACAACCATTCAACCAAGGATGAAGGAACCATGCAATAAACGTTTGTAAATAAATAATCATGTTATAAATAACATTAAAAGCAATAGAACAGCACTTTACCGGCAGATCATAGGCAAGCACGACATTGTTGCTTTGTGTACTGCAACAAATTGAAAAACTAAGTCAATAGGAGAAAATAGAGAGGAAACTCTGGAATGCTTTTAAAGACTAACTATAATGATACCTGAGAACTGCTAATTTCTTCCCCATAGATGCATAGAGTGCAAGGCTACTATTAAATGGGGAAATTCGCAGGTCCCTGATTGCTTTTGTACCAGGAGGAAGAAAAATGTCTTCTCTTTCATACGGAGGTAACAAGTTTATCTGCAAAATAAATTTCAGAAACCCAACAAGGGTATCCTTTAATTGAAAAGTGCACAGAGTGATGCTGGAAGCACATAAAATGTCAAAATTGCAGAAGCCTTACTCTGGAAAGGAAAGATGTTCCACCCAACCCAGGCAATCGACGAGTTACTAACAAAGTATGACTGGAAGCATCTACATCAAATAAACGTGCACCATCCACTTGCAGTTCTTTCTACAAGGATTTAAAAAGGAGATTATATTACATGACAAAGCAAATACAAAAATAAAGGGATGAAAGGTGAGGATCTGGGAGCGATTAAAGTGTGAAAGTACTTTTTGTTTTGGCCAAGTTAAAGCATGAAAGTATAATTCACATGCATTACAAGATTAATAAAAAGAAACAATACTATGCAATTATCCTTGAGTATTCAATACTGTAACCATTAAGGTATACTTTTCCAACTACATTTAAAGCAAGATTTAACAGACTGAATTCAGAAACGATTTAGTCACAATATGTTTTCAGCTACATCCAATGGCAACAAACAAGTGCAAGATCAAGAAAAAAAATTCAATTAGCAATATCTCATCTGAACTAGCCTATCATTAAAACTGAGATGATCAAGTCAAGCAGAATAAAACACACAGCTCAAGCAACATGTCTTCATCTAACCCACCAGAATACATTTAGCACAGTATGGCCATATTATACAATCTGAGCTAAGCCTAAGTGAATGACATGGCTTTACTTAGGTTTTAAATATCTCAAGCACTAATCTAAAATTTTAATCTTAAGTTTTTTCATTCAGCTTCAAACCTTCTTATTAGAGTCTAATTAAAATTTTCCAAATGATTTTTTTTTTCTTGCCAAAATTTCTACTTGTAGGCAAGCTTTAAGGTGAAGAGAGACCAGAAATGATCAAACCAAGCATACAGTATCTTATCAATTAACTACAGAGATGAGAGAAATAGGAATATATGCATACATGCTTTTCTATGAAGACTAACCATATATGACAGTTGAGAGAAATAGGAAGAGAGGAGGAAGTAATAAATAACATACCATCGGTACAAAATGCACACTGCTAAACTCTGAGCCAAAGTTGGATCCTACAAGACATGCATTGATATTACCCAAAGTCAAATAAAAGATCAGTACTTTTGGGTCCTCTGGAGATTAAGCTTGAAAATCAGGAAAATGCTACACAAATTAAAGATGCAAATGATAAACACTGGTTAAATTTTCAAAAAGCAATGATCTTTCACCTTACAAGATTACCTCTCCAAGAAGAAAGAAAGAAGTTACCTAGAGAATGTCCTTCAAAATCCCTATTCCTATTGGCTGTCACTTCTCCAAGTGTCGCACTCTGTACATCTCCTAGTAAATGCTCCAAATATTTAGCCCTCTACAAAATAAGAATGAAAACATCAATACCTAAAAGTCCAAGGCCAAGGAAAAAAAAAAAAACCCTAAAAGGTTTTTGTTTGAAGTTTCATCCTAGAAACAATTAATAAAGAGAGGAATAGGTTTTAAACTTGAATTTCGCACTAGGAAAGGGTCCTTAAAATATGAAACATGCATAAAATCAGTTAAAATCTAATTCTAAGTAAATAACAGCACTAAGTGACCAAAAAAGTGATATTTGAATTTCAAGATGGTAACACAAACTCAAACTTAAGGACATAATTGTAATTGTTTAAAACACCAAAAAAGAAGCAACTTCTGGACAAGCATAGAACTCAAGCAATAGATATGGCATAACCAAACCATCACAACTAAAATAATGTCAAAGGCTAGAGAAAGGAGGATACTCAGCATTTACTGGACAAGAAATGTCACTCTGACTAAACAAAAAAAAGAAGAAGAAGTGATTTATAGGTAAAGAAATGCAAAAAATTCAATAAGACCTGTTTTTAAAAGCAATTTTAAGGAGTGAAATTAAACTATTAAGTAATTTAAAAACTAAAATCAAGCATACCTTAGTAAGTTGCTTAACTTCTATTTGCAACTCATCCTCTCTCTTTTTCCATTGAGTTTCTCTTTCTTTCCATTCAGCTTCTTTCTTGCTCCAAGAAGCACTCTAAATACATTGTTAAAATGATAACTTCGTAAGGGTAAAAGAACTAACTTAATAATTGCCCAAAAACATCAAATTGGAGAAGAAAATCATTTTATTGCTCCACGCATGCTCATGAATTTTTCAAGTGAAATGCATTTAGCCTCAAAAGATTGAATTCTATGCACAAATTAATGACTGACTATTAACTTCATGTTTTTAACAAGTCTCTGAAATTCAAGACCACTAAGGTTTAGCATTACCATTTGCACTTCTCCATCCATAGCAACAAGCTGCAATGCAAACAGTTTCCTAACATCTTTTAATGTAAATTTCTTGTTGCATTGAGGACACTGGAAAAAGGCACAGGATAGAAATAAAAGGAAAAAAAGGAGTCAGGCCCAATATCCAGAGAAACTATAACCGTGTAACACAGTCTGATGATGATAGTCTCTACCTTTCTTGAACTTGAATTTTTTTGTAACCATCTTTCAATGCATGATAAGCCATAAATGTGTCCACAAGGAAGACAACTACAGGAAAAGAAAAGTTATATGAACTTTATATATAATTAAAACTCAAAACTTGCATAAAAATTCCACATTTAATCGACCAACAACATAGAATATAATGGAATTGAGAATAGAATCCAAGTTTCCTAGCTAACTCCAAAGTCATAATTAATTCAACAGACTAAAATATTCATTAGTGAGACCTTCCCCCCACTTGGGTTTGCCATTGATCATATAATAGTTCCAAAGAGGTTAAAATTTAAAACAGAAAAAAAGAATCAAGATTTAAATTTAAATCCTAACTCTTTTTCTTGCTATGGAATTGCACTAATCGCAATGCTCTCTCCAGAAGCATAGGCATAAGTGATCACCAGAAAATTTGAAAAAGAAAAGGACAACTCAAATCAAAAGACCTTAAAGTTCAAGAATTTAGAATGTACGAACCAGACATGGTGATCACCGGAAGAGGTCCAAGCAGCTTCCATGCAGATAGCGCAGAACAAGCCATCGATTTCGCCGTGGTTCCTCTCCTTCCCTTGAGAACCCTCTCCGCAATCTGTTCCACTCGAAAAACACTTCTCCTCTCCTCCACCCTTCCCAACTCTCCGTTCCTCCCCCGCTCCACCCGAAACCCTAGGCGACTGCCTCACAGGAATATACTCTTCTACTTCCAGTAGTTCCTCTTCGCTTTCTTCTCCTTCTGTTTCTTCTTCTTCTTCTTCTCCCTGTGTTTCTTCATCATCTTCTCCTTCTTCCTCTGTTTCTTCCTCTCCTTCTTCTTCAGAGTCTGTTTCTCCAACTTGAATGTACTCGATAGGCATTGTTGAAATCGAATTTTGATATTGTTGCCTTCTCCCTTTTCTTTTCGAAGGTTCTAACTGATGAAGGATTGGTGAAGAGAATCCTAGAAAGCGAGGGAAAATAGAATTTATTCCCGAGTTTTGTCCTTAATTGACTAAATTATATTGTACATGGGCTTAACTGGCTCATAAAAATGTTAAAGGCTGGAGTGAGGTGAAAAAATGGGGCCAATTTGCTCCTCTTCTTATTTATTTTTTTTCCCTAATTTTGGGTTACAGATTTTTCAGGTGGATAGAATAGGCAAGCTTGTTGCCTCACATCAAAATGCCGTGAATACACAAATTTTTAAATATTATATTTTAAAATATTAATTTTGTTGTTAAAAATAATTAATAATAATTATTATTAATTAATAAATAATAATAATTAATTATTAGTTTGTCTCATTTA